ATTATTAGAAATGATTCACATATTTTTAGAATGTGAATAAAGAATTACAAACGCTTTTTAGTAGAGAATTCAAATATTTTGTAATTGAGAAAGGTTTGACTGAATTGAGAACATGTCAAAGAGGAATTAGGTTAAATTCCTTTACTTTCATAATGTGCCATCATAGGCAACTAAGTTTTGCAAATATCAAACCCTTCAAAATATCTATATGGATAATCAAGAAATTTAATAAACCAATAGTGTGTAATGTAATCAAGGTTTTTCTTCTCCCAAGAAGTGTATGGCTCAGTTATAACAAATTAAGTATAGGAGAACAAAAATTGAACATAGAATAGACTCTGCCAGATGTAGTTTTTGTCAACACTGCAAATTGCTACAAAATCAAAACATCAACCTGAAAACTCGTCATGTTCCTAAACGGTCTCATCAGATCAAGGCTTTCATATAGATGTTGTGAATGGTGCCAAACCTGTTCAGAAAATATCTAAACTCGCTCCTGTATATACAACTGCTTCTTCAGATCAATGGTGAAAAAAGGCTTCGAGTGAATGAAGCCAGAGTATTTTGGTAAAGATTATTCTTTGAACTTTGTGGACTAACACTACATAATCCCAAACAAAGAACTGTGCCAAATAGCGTAAATCACATCACTTAAGGACTACCAACAGCGGCAACAACTAAAATGGATAGCACATGTAACTCAAAGAGAAAATAATAACATAATCAAGATGTTAACATTCCACACCACATTAAATAAAAGATACTGGAACGAGCAATAACAGCTACTGGATTTGAGAATCCTGTTTTCCTGAAAAATTGTTTTAAGACAAAAATTTTATAAACTTCAACCAAAAAGCAGTACTGGCTGCTTGATCAATGAATACCAAATGTTTCCTCACAGGGAAACGGCTAATATTAGCATTACCATTCTTGCCAGATCCAGAAGGTCATGGAACCAAGAAAAACTAAACCCAAGATGTGACCCATTTGAATGCTAACATACCACAATATTCCTTAAAAGAAATGATTATTTGAAAATCTGCATCTTATATTTAAGGTGTGAACATTTTCTTTAGAAAAGAAAAAAAATTAAGAAGCACTGATATTTTTGTATCAAGTCTCATATTATGAGTATGCATTTTTTTTAAAAAAAACTTTTCTAAACAAAAACATTTTTTTATGTTTTGGTCACAGAATACTTATTCTCGATTTGTAGAGTAATAAATTTGTTTTGGTCAAAGTAAGTCAGAAAAACATTTACTTCTATAGCCAGGTAACTTTTATAAAAATAGCATAATTAACTTTTGTCATTAATAAATAATAAATGTAAATAATGAATAATATTATGAATAATAATGTAAATAATATACTGTAAAGACTTGTAATATAATACGACATTTAATGGAGATGATAATAATAGATTTAATGTATGTAATTAATGAATTTAATGTACATCATAATAAATTTACCGAAGGTAATAAAAATGTAACAGATTATACCAATGATTCCCAACATGGGGTGCCTGCCCCACCGGTGGTAGTATTTTGGTGGGGTATGCGTAGGATGTGCACCCTTCAGCTTACTATACCAGCAGAATAAGGGGGGAAATTCAAGAATGGGTTATTAACAGTGAATTGTTTCCTACTGAGCTCAAATTTCATTTTGTATTATTATTTCATGATTAAAGTATATTACAGAATAAACTTTCATTCAAATATTTTATATTTCTGCCTTATATGTTTTGAAACTATATATATTTGTCTTTTTGTTTTTTTAATTTTTTTCTTCCATGGATGCCATGGTCCTTGGAGGCTTGTTTAAAGACTAAGTTAATGGCCTTTAAAGCTTCCTTCACATGAATTGCAGTAAAGTTTGAATATGTAAGAATTAAATATTACAGGGGTAGGGAGGACACCAGAATTTTAGAAATACCAAAGTGAGGCATGGCCCAAAATCAGTTGGCAACCATTAGATTAGACGATAGATAAATTAGATAATAATGTAAATTATTTGTAATTAAAAAAAGAGTAACATTTAAAAATATAATTATTAAAATATGTGTTTAATTAAAAATGTCTTTGAATCATATTTTTTGATTTTAACCCTAAACATCATTCATTTATTGTGTATTGGTCAGTTTTAGTTTTTTCATTGTAATAGAAATGAGGGTAATGTATGACTATATTTATTCAAATATCAAACATTTAAAGTAACTGTTACTAAACAATGTACTACTTCTTAAAATGTAAGGCTGTTTGAACCTAAAACTCTGAATACTAAAGCCAAAACGTTTCCTCTTGATTAAAGCATTTGCCGCTGAAATATAACAAAATTTTTAGCAAAAATAGTTTACTTTTCCATTCAGACAATTTTTTGTTCAGAACTTTCAGAAATAATCATTTTCAGATTTTTGCAAACAATTTAATTCATTTTTTTCATGCTATGTTACTACAATATTTCAGCCAATCTATTCTCTGACTGAGGAGTAATGGATAATGGCTTGGGTTGAGGAATCGGAGAGACAAGTTCAAATTCCAGTCAAATCCATTATATTTACTTACATGCTAATACCCTTGGGAAAGGTATGAATTCTCCCCCCAGCTATGGGTAAATAGCAGGACAGACCGGGTTTTATAGCCTTGGATGACAACTAGTCTAGGAGAAGGACAGCTCTGAATTCAAAACTTGATCCTCCAGCTTGGGGGTCACAACCTACTCACCTAAAAAAACTGGCTAGTTACAGAAACTGCAATAATATTCCTCAAGGAATTTAAAGGCATAATATATATATACTTGACTCTCCCGTTGAATTCGACATATGAGGGTCAAGCAGATTGGTTCCTAGGAAACTGACCTGACAGCCCGACAACAGCACATGAGATTTGATTATAGTGGTGAAGGTTTCGGGCAGGACCATCCACACTTTTTGAAGGGCTGAATACAGAGACCTGGTGCACAACCCTCCACAGGTTTATATATATATATATATATATATATATATATATATATATATATATATATACTCCAACCATTAGTAGGTGCAAACTTGAGTCATATTCTTTAAATAGCCTCATCAGATCAAGACTCTTAAATATGGATGTCAGGCATGGCATCATTCAGAGATGTCTTAACGATCAGCTGTATACAACTGTTTACTCAAAAATTAATAATGACTTCAAGCAAATGAATCCTGTCAGTCTTAAACATGACAATCCTTACTCATATCTCAAAGACTGGCACTGCAGGATCACACAGAACTTTAGCAAATAACAAAAACCAAATCAGCTGAAAATATCAGTCGGCAGCAATAATTAAAATGGGTAGCATATGAAAGTAGAAGGGAAAATAATGATATCATCAAGATGTTCACTTTTACCACAACTTTAAACAAAAGGTTAGGAAGGAAACCTCCTGTCAATATTAGAAAAAGCTATAACAGTTGGAAGCCTATTTTTGTGAAAAAACATTTTAAGAGAAAGATTTTATAAATTTCAACCGACAGTGAGTAATGCTAACTGTTTGGTCAATGAATGGTGAATGTTTCCTGTATAGAAACAGTCAATCTCTCCCTTACCGCATCTGTATAGAAATTAAAAGAACATGGTATCATCTGGGGTGTTATATTGTTAGAATGAACCAAATAAGTAACCATTTCCTGTTCACTATCACCATCCAATAGAAGAAAAAAAAGACCTCTTCACTTAAATAGGGAGAGAAGAATGCTGTAGAACAGACCAGCTGAAATGTTATGGTAACAATTTCAGCAACACAAAGAATGATTTCACTTGTCCAAACAAATATTGGAACTCTATTCGACTTTTTATGCAAATCAATTCAAATAAAATATTGTAATACAACGGATTTTTTTTTTTTTTTTTTTTGGCAAAAGTTTTTAATTTCTAAAGCTCAAAATTAATATTCACCTATTTGTAGAGAGGTTGATTTTGGGGTCTTTTTTATCTTAAAAACTCATTCGAAAAAATATATTTATGTTGTTTCATGGTTAAATATGTAATTGATGATGAAATTGTTTGGATTGTTGTCCTCATCTTTATTGTCATATTGACAACGTTTTGGCAATTGTATGCCCCAGCCTTCTTCAGGCAATATACTTTGGAATTTCAAACTGAACCTTTTATTTAGTCCACAGAATAGATTGTTCTAGTTCCATGTGCCATGCTTTTCTTCAGTTATAGTTATTTCCATATTATTTTTATGCTTAGAAATTAACGCAAAATCACGGCGACCATGAGATTTGAGAAAATATAAATATGCAGTGTATGAAAGAGGGGGAGGGCGAGAAAAGGAAGTTAGCCTACAAACGACCAGGAAATATGACAAATACAACATCTAAACTTTGTCACTCAGGATTAGCGTCTACTAAGGAATTTAGGCCAGTCTCTGAAATTTAAACTACACCTTTTAGTAACTTAACTCTCCAAGAATACATGATCCAGTAGATAAAAGCATTGGTTGAAGTAATCCAGTGACTTGACCCAAAGAGCTGTGAGTTCAATACCTGGCCACAGCAGAGATGAACAAAAACTTGGAAAAACTTGAGTGAAATAAATGGTTCAGTTTGATATTCCAACGTATATTACCTGAAGAAGATGAAGCGTACAACAGTCGAAATGTCGTGAATATGGCAATAAAGATGAGGACAACAGTCTGAACAATGTAAACAGTGTAAATAATTACAATACCTTATATTAGAAATATAGGCATATGTTGAAATTGAATAAGTGTATCAATTTGAGTTTTTCTTTCTTGGTGGAGGAAAACTGATAATTGAATAGAAATGAGTTCACGAGGCACAATTTCTTTTAATGTCGGTAAAGGTTTTAAAAATGTGTAATCATAATATGAGGCTATGCAAAAATAATTTTAAATGTGATAGCAATGAAGAGAGTAGAAGAGGGTGAAGAAGGTGATGCAGAAAGAAAGAAAAGGAATGGAAACAAGGAAATGGATCAAAGGGAGAAAGAAAAATAGAGAGGAGGTTAAAGAGGAAGAGAATGGGAAGAATAAGAAAAGAGGAGAAAGAAGTGGAAAGAGTGAGGATTAAAGGTGAAGAAGAAAAAGAAGATTAGATAAAAGATGAATGAGAAGGGAAGATTGAAAGAAGAAGAAGAAGAAGAAGAAGAAGAAGAAAAAAGAAGAAAGAAAAGACTTATTGTTAGAAAAAGACAGGATAAAGAAAAGAGGAGGAGGAGGAGGAAAAGAGGAGAAAAGAGAGAAGGAAGCAAGAAATATAAAGAAGGTTGAAAGAGGAGAAGTAAATAGAAGATGAAGAAATAATAGAAAAGAAAGAAGAAAAAGATGAAAGGAAAAGAAAGAGAAGAAAAATAAGAAAGAAAAAGACAAAAAGAAAGGAAAAGAAAGATAAGAAAAAGAAGAAAGAAAGAAAGAAAGAAAGAGAAGAAAAGAAAGAGAAGAAAAGAAAGAGAAGAATAAGAAGAAAGAGAAGAAGAAAAGAAAAGAAAGAGATGAAGAAGAAAGGAAAAGAAAGTGAAAAAGAAAGAGAAGAAGAAGAAAGGAAAAGAAAGAGAAGAAAAGAAAGAGAAGAAGAAGAAGAAGAAAAGAAAAGAAAGAGACAAAGAAGAAAGGAAAAGAAAGAGAAAAAGAAGAAGAAAAGAAAAGAAAGAGAAGAAGAAAGAGAAAGAGAAGGAGCAAATTAAAGAAATAAAAAATAGAGGATAAAATAATAAAAGATTTTTGAACCAAGTACGTGACAGACAGATGTAGTGTGGCTACTATGCAACTGATAGATATGGTGTGGCTATTACGTGACAAACAGATGTGGTGTGAATACAGTGAGAAAATCTCTGAAATTGTTTTGAGAAAGACAAAAGATAGGCAAAAAGTGAAAAAGAGAAATAATGTGCAGGGTGCAGAGTGTGGATGTGGCAGAATTCATTTTTGTGGGATTGCAATGGGCCTTACTTGGTGGACAGACATGTCTTCCGATGTCTCACAGAGGTGCATGTTCTCCAGCCTCTGACAAATCTGTTCCCCAGGCACTCGACGATGGGCAACTAAGTTGGACAGTTGGCGTAACTGTAAAGAGATAGAGAAAACAAATGTTAACTGAAATACTAAGCAAAACAGAGAGAATATTTCTATAAGAAATGATTCAAGGTATTTTTTATTTTATAAAATGCATTGTAAACTGAAAATGCATTAAAAACAAATTTGTTACGAAATTCAGTTGCAAATATTTATGCAAATTATTTCACATATGAACAGAACTGTACTTATTTAAGGCTTATCAGGTGCTGTAAGCTTGGATGTGTGGGTGGTGTAATGGATAATGGCTTGAAATTATTAATCGGGGAGCCAAGTCCCAATTCCCATCAGGTCTGCTATATTCACTTACATGCAAATACCCTTCGGAAAGGTATGAATCCACCTTTTCCCCCCAGCTATGGGTTAATTAGTAAGACTTCTATCACTAAACCATTATTATTTCAAAAAAATATTCTTACTATCTAAAAATATTTTCTGGCTTTAAATAACCCACAAAAGGCTGATAAACCATAAAAAATGAATCAATCATTTATTTATTTTTTTATTTTTATTTTTTAATCTATTCTCCCCAAGCAAGGTGATCAAGTCACTAAGACACAAAGGGTTACTGGGAGTGAAAGAGAATGAAAAAAACTTTAGAAACCAGAAACCCAATCCTAAACAGAAAAAAAGGGAAAAACCTCTGCTCCTGTTCAAAAGAATAAGGAGGTACATGAACCGGGCGATAGGCAAACCTATCTACTCCTATTGAAAAACGATGTGGTATCATCGCCTTCCATAGGCGGTTATGGCTCTCCACAACTTCCTTTCTTTTGTTGATCTTTTGCCCATTTATCATCTTTGTCTTTGTCCTTTTCTTCAATCCATTTGCTCACCAGTTCCCTTCTGATATTCTTACCTTCAATATGCCTTGTGTGTGCTAAATTCTCCAAGCCCTCTTTTCTTATTATGTGCCCCCAAAATTTCAACTGTCTTTTTCTGAATCTGGAAGTGATGAGACTAATGTAATGAAAAAACATAATTTCACCTGAATAACGATACGGACACAATGTGGCATGGAATTTACTGTGGAGGTACTGAGCTCATTGTCGGGGTATATTGTATATATTAAGTATAATGATCTAGTAAATAAATAGTATTTATTATTTTTGTTATCAATTCTTGAGAACAAAGCAAATGTATAAATTCACTTTTATATGTTTAGGTTTTATTAAAATACTAATCATTGCTTTTTGAAACATTAAACATTGCCGAGGAGTGAAGGTAGTTAAAATAATAGTAATGTCAAGTGCAAAACCGTCCTTTTCGCATACTTTTTTTTTTTTTGTAGGCATGAAGATCCAAGTTTTGGGGAATCAGTTGTAAAAAGAAAGTATTGTCCTAACGTCTAATCATACATGACTGTTAAGAATAAATTTGAGATTCACTATCCCTGCCTTCATTTTCACATGGTGTTGGCAGCATACACAGTGGATTAAATGAAAAATATTGTTCTCCTCCATGACAACACAAGACTGCATATGGCAAGAATAATGCAGGAATGAATTTTGGAACATGTTTGGTCTGTTCTAAACCCCCCACCATATTCACCTGATCTTGCACCAACCAACGGTGACTTTTGATTTCTGTAAAATGCTTTGATGAAGAAAACCAAATTCAAGATTTCATCAAACATTTTTATATGAAAACGCAGAATTTTACTCAAAAGGGATCAGAAAGTTGTCTGCTTAGTGGCAACAACTCATTGCAAATAATGGTGAATTTGATAAGCTATAATTTTTTTGCAACACATGCATGTTGAAATCCTTACAGTGTATTTAATATTGTTGAAGTTGTCGCTGGTATTTTTTGTTGCGATTTACAAACTCTATTTTTTGTTTAATTTAGCAAACCAATTGGTTTGAAAAATACTTTGACAAAACCCCTACTTTGCGGTTTAATAATTTCTTTAAATTACTTTAATTTTATAGGACTTCATGGTAAACAATAATTTTAAGAAAGTTTCTTTTATTTCCTTGTTTCTTTTCAACACTGAAGAATAAATTCCTAGGATTTCTTACTCTTAAGCATGCAACATACAACCGGCTAAGTGTAAATATTTGTTTTTGGAGCCAAATTCCAACTTTTTGAAGCATCTGGCCTTGTGATTTGTTTATAGTTCTCGAAAACACAAGGCAAACTGGAAACTGAATTGTTGTATATAAAAACATAAAGAAAAGATATGCAAAAAATAATATTGCATTTTTATTAAATAAATATTTGTTATTATTATCATTGTATTGTTTTTAAAATAGAGTATTTTGTATGTTAAATAATAAAACTTCTAACCTCCCCCCCAAACTGAATGAAAATTTATTGTACTAAATTATGCACCCAAGTAAAACGAACTGTACAAACCTTATGTGTTTGCACTTCTCCCCAAAATTTGGCTTTGATTAGTCCATGTATGGCTATTTTAGAGGATGTGAATGATGAATGGATAGATAGATGGATAAACAGAAGTCACAGAAGTCACAGAATTTTATATATATATATATATATATATATATATATATATATATATATATATATATATATATATGAAGAAATATAGTCTTAAGATGTGCTATATTTATGGGATAAAGTGCTCAATATCAGAGATAGAGTGTGTGTAAATATAAAAGTGAATATAGAATTCAACACTTAGAGGCGACAGTCTGTTTCATGCTAGATGCAATCATCAGGCCACTATACAGATAGATAGATAGACAGATGGATAGAGAATTGAATCAAATGTAATTGTACTTTATATTTTGAAGAATAAATTTAATAAACAAAAACGGAAATTATTTATGATCCAACCTAATATATCTCATCAGACACCATATATTATTATAGAAAACTGAAGAAAGAACTGGTTTAAATAATAGGTTCATAAAAAAAAGATGAAAATACTTGCATAGTTCATGCAATAATAGCAAGACTTCATCTCTGGACTTTCCTTTTTTTTTTCATGAAAATGGCAAACCTTTTTTTTCCTAGTAAAGATGATAAATAATTCACACCTTACCAGGATTCATTATTGGCAGCCACAATCTTATCAACATAAGATATACAAATGGTACAAGGTTGAAAACAGACACAGAAAGGAAATTACATGAAGGCCTACAGAAGTAGTAAAGGAAAGTAAGAAGAAAAGACTAACCATCAATTGTAAAAAAACAAAATATATGGTTGTCAACAAAAGGGACAACCCAACAGGTGAATTACAAATTGGGGATACCAGAATCAAGCAAGTACAAAAATTTAAATATCTGGGAAGTGTTTTAACAGAGGATGGAAAATTTGACACCGAAATCCAAAGGTGCACTCGGACAGTAAAAGACACCTTCTAAAAGTTAAGCAAAGTATTAAGGAACAAGAAAATTTAATTAGAAACAAAGAAAAGAACACTGAACTGTTACGTAATATCAGTTTTCCTATTTGGCAGAAAATGCTAGACAATTTCCTCACAGATAAAGAAGAGATTTGACACAACAGAAATGTAGTTCTACAGAAGGATACTGAAAATCTCACAGATTGAACATGTGAGCTATGAGGAAGTTTTATAGAAAATGGAAGCAAAAAGGATGCTTATGTTTAGAATAGAAAAGAGTCAATGAGGAAAGAGAATTGGACACACAGAGAACATATTAAAGGCAAGAGAAACAGTGGAAAGCAGTGAATAGCCTGCCTAATAAGTGTCTGCAAATATTTGGTAGAACAAGTTTTAGGAGAGATAACAAGAAATAATGTCTTACTAAATGCTATAAAAGAAAGGAAGCTATGGAGAAACATGATCACTAATATTCTGAAGAGACGCAGCACACAGAAGAATTTCAGTTGTGCAGAAGAATCTTACATGGAGGATTTTACTATTTATTAAGCTTACTTTTGGTACGACAGAAATCTGTAAGGACCATGGTGTTAATATAAAACACCATGGTGAGGACTAAATTAACTACAGTAATCATAGTCTTCTGGACTAGCTTTCTGTGTGAGGCACTCTGTTAGAAGAATATTTTTGCAATTTGCATTCTGTCTCAATTTTCGTACATATATTTTGAGATTTTATTTGGAAATTGGAAGAATTCTTTTAAAGGATAGAATAATTTAACACAAAGCGGTAATTTATAAAATGTTGGCTACATTAAAAACTTGTGTAAACTTTGCCAAAATTTATTGTTAAAATGTAACCAGATATTTAATCAAGTTGCCGTTGCCAGGACGAATGCAGACTTGAATGTCGATACGTGTCGTGCCGTATCATTTACAGATTAATCAAAGATGCATGTTGTAATTGAGCTAGAATTGGAATAGAGACTGAAAAGATGGTGATGAAATGGAAGGTGTGGTCAGGGTTTGCATATGTCCCACTTCTTGACACAGTATACATTTCTCTGCACAAAACCCAATCACTGTCCATCTCATTACTCTGAACATTAAATTACAACAGCAACTGTTTCCTGTGTTCTGGATAAGGAAAGAAGAGAGAAAGTGATCATAAGACCAGGGTGCAGAAGGTGGGGTGATTTTTAATTAGAAAGAATCTAATTTTCTTTCTTTCTTCTTTTCTGACCTTTTTCTATTTCCAGAAGGCTTAAGCAAGTTCCTTAACCATTTTCTATTGCTGAGCTGAAAAGCTTAAACAAGTAACTTAACCCTTTTTTTTATTTCCTGAAGATGTAAACAAGTTTATTAATTCTTTTCTATTTCCAGAAGGCTTAAGCAAATTCCTCATCCCTTTGCTATTTCTAGAAGGATGAAACAAGTTCTGTAACCTTTTTTCTATTTCCATAAGTCTTAAGTAAGTTCCTTAACCCTTTTCTAATTCCAGAAGGTTTAAGTGATTTTCTTAACCCAATTTCTATTTCTAGAATATTTACAATATATTTTCATTCTGAGAATCATTTTGTTTCTTTCAATCTAAAAGTCAAATTTGACTCTTCAAACTATTTGTCTATGACAGTCACCTACTTTAATGACATGGTACTCAGACATTTGACTGACAG